ATTTTCTACATAAAAATTGAAAACGTTTTGTGTGGCATGAAACCATCAATAAAGTCAATAAAGAATGAAGATAAAGGATTAATATACATAATAGAGAATACTTAGAGAGTTATTTTTTTTTGGTAAATAATTTTTATTTTATTTAAGTGATTTTCTTCCACCTCTGGCTTTGAGATTTTATGTTTAATAAAGATAAAGAGGTAACTCACAGAAGAGCAAATCGCTCAAATTTACTGGTAGGCAGAGAACTGCAAACTGAAGATATGCTGGTATCACTCACATCCATTGACAGCAAAAAATTAAATACAATTACTGGTAACTAATACTGTTTGGGATGTGGGGCTACAGATACTTTGCTACACTGCTGGTGAACTATGAACAGTAATAGCCTTTCAGAGAACCAAACTGGATATAAGTAAATTAAATATAAAAATTAAATAATCAGTTTAAAAAACATGTAACCCTTTGATCCAGCAATCATACTCCTGAGATTCTATTCCATAAAAGATTTAGAACACATATAAGGATGTTTGGAGAGGCTAGAATCTGGAAACAAAGTAAATGCCTACCAAGAGAAGATTAACTGAATAAAAATCTACACATAAAAACAAGCATGTTTATGTGTCCACATGAAATTCTGTATGAGTACACATATGGCTATATAAAAAAATTTTTATTTAAGTTCAAGGATAGACAAGTAGGGAGAATAATGGAAAAGAACCAGCTTTGGAGTTGTTCCTGAGTTCAAATTCTGCCTCTATCATTTATTTACCTGCTGAATGACTGCAAGCAAATTCCTAAGCTTCACTGAACCTCTGCTTCCTCATTTCTAAAATGGAAATAGTAATTACCACTTCATGGGGATTTTCTTAGAATGACATAATGACTATAAAGTGCTCAATTCGGCAGGTGACACATGTGCTCAAAAGGGGCAGCTATTATTATACTTTTTCCTTCTTGAGATGAAAAAGCAAAAAACAAAAACCCCAAACAAACATAAAAAAAAAGAGTGCCTCCAAACTCCATTGCTTTCAGAAATAAGAAGCACCTTGGGGTGCCTGGGTGGCGCAGCTGGTTAAGCATCCAACTTTTGATTTCAACTCAGGTCATGATCTCAGGGTCACTGGATGGAGCACCACGTCAGGCTCCTTGTTCAGCAGGGAGTCTGCTGGAGATTCTCTCTCCCTCTGCCCCTCCCCCTCCACATGCTCTTGCTCTAACACAAAAATAAATCTAAAAAAAACCCTTAAAAATATATATACCTATGTATTTTCTATTACTGAAAGGCCTTTGTCCTTGGATTACAAAATTCACATGGGAAAAATCCTATATATATCCCATTATAAGTCAAGCTTGACAAAGCAAGATGATGATGAAGACATTCATCAGTTTTGTTTTCATGTTAATTTTTTTTGGGGGGGCTTCACTCTATAAATCAAGTCACTTTTTGTCCTGTCTTAAATTTAGTCTTTGAAGAAGCTAAGCAAAATAAACCTCTAGGGGGGCCTGGGTGGCTCAGTCAGTTAAGCATCTGCCTTCAGCTCAGGTCCTCATCTCAAGGGCCTAGGACCAAGCCCCATATGGGGCTCTCTGCTCAGCAGGGAGGCTGCTTCTCCCTCTCCCTCTGTGCTCTTTCAAATAAATAAATAAATAAATAACCCTCTAAAGTAATATTACAGGTGAAATTTCAGAATATAAAGCATGTATCTGGCAAAGAACCCATGTCCAAAATAAAAATGTAATACATATATATAAGTAAATATTATTGTCAATACATGTATACTAATATGTACAAATCCTGCTATTTTAGTCCATCTGGACTGCTATAACAAATACCACAGACTGGATGGCTTGAAAACAGCGGAAATTTATTGCGCATAGTTCTGGAGGCAGGAAATCCACGATCAGGGTGTGAATATGGTTGGGATCTGATGATAGACCCTCTCCTTCATTGCAGGCTACTGACTTCTTGCTGTGCCCTCAAACGATGGAAGGTGGCGAGGGAGCTTCTGGACCCTCTTTTATAAGGGTGCTAATCACTATTATGAGACCTCTGTAATCATGACCTAATCACCTCCCAAAATCCCCATCTCCTAATACTAACATCATCACTTTGGAGATTAAATTTCACCACATGAATTTTGAGGGAGACAAACATTCAGACCATAACATTTGCTAAATGCAAGAATGCTCATAGCAGCGGGCGCCTGGGTGGCTCATTCGGTTAAGCGACTGCCTTCGGCTCAGGTCATGATCCTGGAGTCCCGGGATCGAGTCCCACATCGGGCTCCCTGCTCAGCAGGGAGTCTGCTTCTCCCTCTGACCTTCCTCCCTCTCGTGCTCTCTAGCTCTCATTCTCTCTCTCTCAAATAAATAAATAAAATCTTAAAAAAAAAAAGAATGCTCATAGCAGCTTTGTTCATAATGGCTAAAACTGGAAAAGAACAAAGCAAAACCAAACATCTGTAACAGGAGAATAGATTTTTTTCAAGTGTGACTTATTCATACAGTGAAATACTCTCAGCAATTAAAAAAATGAAAACAAAAAAAAAAAAATGAAGACGCCTTCTGATACACTCCCAAAATAGAATGATCAAAAGAAGTCACATACAAACAAGGACATGCTGCACAACTGTATGATTGCATTTAAATGAAGTTCAGGAACAAATGAAACTAATGGTAGGGAAAGAAGAGTCAGAATAATGGTTATTCAGGGCAGAGAAGGGGTGGTTATGACTGGAATGCGACAGAAATAACTTTTTGGGGTGCTGGGTATATTCCTCTTAGTAGTAGTCACAGCGGTGTATTTATATGTAAAATATCACTGAGTTGTATACCTCAAAGTTGTATATTTTAGCCTATATAAATTACACCTTGGTGTGAAAATAAACTTTAAAAATTTTAAAGTCATTTTTCCCCTAAAAAAATTTCAGAACAAAATTTAAAATGTCAAGTACCATTCCTATACAACAGTCACTGTTATTTTCAGTAAGGCTGAAAAGAAAAGCAATATAAACTTACATTAATAATACTACAGTGTAAAACAAAAAGAAGCATTCACCAATATTATATGGTTAAATAATTTGTATTTTCTGATCATCTACCAGCAATTAATTAATTAAATCTTCTTTTTTTTTTATTTGACAGAGAGACACAGCGAGAGAGGGAACACAAGCAGGGGGAGTGGGAGAGGGAGAAGCAGGCTTCCCGCAAAGCAGGGAGCCCGATGCGGGGCTCGATCCCAGGACCCCAGGATTATGACCTGAGTCGAAGGCAGATGCTTAACGACTGAGCCACCCAGGTGCCCCTAAATAATTAAACATCCATGAGAAATCTTTTTAGGTTCTAGCCACCCACAGAGTAGAAGTTTAATGTGAAATAAAAAGCACATGACACCAGCATATATAAGACATTCATCAAATACATCAGATTTTGCTAATAAAGTGATCTTTTACACATCATATAACTACCAGGTTCCTATTCAAGAACCACCATTTTCATGGAACCAGAAAAACTGGATAGTTCATATCTTTAAAAATTATCTGTCTGAAAAGCCACACCAAAAACATTTAAGAAACGATTTTTGACAAAGTGTTTCAAAGGACTTCAAAAGAAGATCTGGAAAGACAGAGATATAACTGAGAATTATTTATCCAAAATATAATTTGCCAGCAATAGGAAAAAAAAACAAAAAAACAACCAAGTAGGTGTACCTTCACTAGCTATACCTGTTACGTATCTTCATTCTTCGATGCCTCCATTCATACTACAAGTACAATGCTCTTCCATCCGTCCACGGCTGGGGAGCTCTTTTCTGGAACTGGTCTTAAATGTTACATTACTTATTACATTACTCTCCTGTTCTCCCAAGCTGAATTAATCACTCCTTCAATGGCTCCCACTGCTATTTCAGGCCATCCTATGACTTGTGTCTATTGTAATGACAAATGATTGCTTTGTGTTTCACCTCCTAGCTCCTGCACTGAGGTTGTAATGAGCACTCAATAAATGCTGTTTGAACAATGACAGCAACATAATGTAGGAAATCAGAATATTAGTTCTTCAAAGAAAAAAAAATCTGTCTAGAAATAAAATGATGACAACAGCAATATTTTGATCAAGTAAAAGTCATTTTCTGGTGAGAAAAGGTCCAATTTTGTGTTCAAATGCTGTTCTTCCCCTACAAGTGTTTTTTAAAGTAATAGTTTTATGGAGATATTATTCATTTAAGGTTCTAATATATCTTTAAAAGAAGGCCACCTTTTGTCACACTGAAAAATACTGATGTTTTATTGAGGGTTCTGAGCAATTCATTCAAAACCCAGGTCTGGGACTGGAGAAACTGCTTTCCAAAGATAAATACTTCAAGAATGTGAGAAAACAACAAAAATTAAAACCACTGAGATGGGTGCAAAGGCACAAAGCATCATTGAATCTTGAAGAAAATTAATTTCAATTCTTGTATGCTGTACAGAGAACAGTTTTTATTGCTTTGCTTATAAAACCTTGAGGAATGTATGCACTTGAAAAAGGGATACTATAAAAAATGAGAATTCTTCATCTTAGAGGAATGAGCTAAAAGGGAATACAATCGAAGAGAATAAAATCATGTTCTTCCAATTGTAGAAACTAGAACTAAGCCTTACCTACAAAGAACACATTTCTGTGAAGTGTGAAAACAATTAAAATAAACAAAAGGAAGTTTTTCATACTGCAAAGCACGAATGATCTAAAAATACAGTTATGTTCAAGAAGGATTTAGCTATCCAATGAGTAGAGGACATCTTTTACCTCTGAGGTGAAGCCAATCAAGAAAGAAAACCTTTTTCCTTCTTTTCTGTGCCAACACTAGAAACAACTTTGGGCTAGAAGTGTATTTAAAAGTTCTATTCTTATATTAGATAAAGGAATTATAAAAAGTTCCCTGAAATCAAATAGCCACAACAATCTTTTCCTAACAAATTTTTAAAAGGATTAATGCTGAATTATCAGCTCCTTACCTTTGTAATGAGAATTCGGTATTTTTCTACCAGGTGGTCGTTGTTGTGACAACCTGCTAGCAGCTGCCAGACTTCTCCTCGCAGAGCTTCAGGAACACCGCTCCTTACTAAGGATGACAACTGCTTTGGTCTCACACTCAAATTGAGATGCCTAAAAATAAAGCCATAATCTGTAAGTGTATTATTTTTTAAAAATCTTATTTTGGGGGCTCCTGGGTGGCTCAGTCGGTTAAGCATCTACCTTCAGCTCAGGTCAGGATCTCAGGATTCTGGGACTGAGCCTACACAGGGCTCTCCGCTCAGCAGCAAGTCTGCTTCTCCCTTGCCCTCTGTGCTCTCTCGCTCTCTCTCAAATAAATAAAATCTTCAAAAAAAAAAAATCTTATTTTTAAGTAATCTCTACACCCAATGTGGGGCTCAAACTCACAACCCCAAGATCAAGAGTCACACCCTCCACCGACTGAGCTGGCCAGGCACCACTAAACAGTGTTATTTTTATGAAAACTAGACTAAATGATTTTTACAGACTTAATAAAGGTAACATATTAATAAAGAAAAAAAATAAAGCTGTTGAAATAGATGTGGCCAAGATAACTAAAAGATTGGGTGGTGGAAAGAATTGTGCAGACCATTTCCTAACTATCTTTAAATTATTGCTCTATTTTTATTTTTTTAAATAAAAATCAAAACTAGAAACTATAGCTTCATGGTTGTGGCTTATTTAAGAAAAACACAGCAAAACCCCAATCAGCGGACAGAAAGCCAAAGATAAGAGCTTGGCCCTACATCAAAATTCACAAATGAATTGTGTATTTATATGTCCTAAGTTAAAATTAAGTTAAAATATTTAAAATAAATATAAAAATAAAGCTTTTAGCATTTTTTATGATACCTTGCTTCAAGTAACATTTTTGAATGACTATAAGAAAGTTTCTACTGTACTATTATAACATCAAAATAAGTTATTAAAGTCTTTGAGCTTCATTTATCTAATCTATAAAATGGGGAAAATAAAACTTATCTTGAATTGGTACCAATTTTTTTTAATTTTTCTTTTGGATTTTATTTATTTGAGAGAGAGACAAAGAGAGTGAGAGAGAGCACAAGTGGGGAGGGGAGGGAGAAGCAGGCTCCCCGCAGAGCAAGGAGCCTGATGCGGAACTTGATCCCAGGATCCCAGGATCATGACTTGAGCCGAAGGCAGACACTTAACCAACTGAGCCACCCAGGTGCCCGAATTGGTACCAATCTGTAAAGTGATTTACATATAATCTTATTTGATCTTCACAATAACCATCTGAGGTAGGTGTTAGTATTTCCAGTTTTACCGATGGAGAAAGAAGTTCAGGGAAGTCGATTAAATGACTCAGGCAGTCCTCAAACTCAGATCAATAAATATTCTGTTGGATTTCATGGCTGCTTTGTGTTTTGAAAGCCACCATTACTGAGTCAGTAATGCAGAATCCTGACCTGGAAAGGCTTCTGTGACTACCAGATTTAAACAGAAGTTACTGATACAAAATGACCACTCTAAAAATACAAAAAGGACTCAGACTTTTCTCAAAACATTCCCAGAATTCTAAAGAATAATGCACAGTACATTTAAAAATGGTTAATTCTGTGATGCTAGTACCCTAATGCAGTAGCTATAGACAATTCAATATGGTTTTGTCTTTGCTTGGAAAAATATATACATATAAAAGTTGAAGGGTTGGGAGCAGAAAGAACAAAAGCAATTGTTACTTAATTCAAGGATTGGTGCACTATGGCCTGTGGGCCAAATCTGCCCACCGCCTGTTTCTGTAAAGCAACTTTTACTGAAACACAGCCTTTTTAAATTGTTTACATATTGTCTATGACTGCCTTTGCACCACAACAGCAGAGTTGAGTAGTAGTGACAGAGACTACTGGGCCACAGAACCTAATATTTATGACCTATATATATTTATGGCCTAAGTATTTATGACCTGGCTCTTTACAGAAATAATAAACCTAACCCTAGGTTTATAATGCTAATCCTAGCTTAATTTATATTGGTAAAATTATTTTCAGAATAATTTTATGTCACTGATTGTATTAACTTCATTTACCCTCAACATACTATTTTATACCAACATTAGTTCTCTTATCCACTAAGAGTCACATTAAAATGTACTTGGAGTGGGGCGCCTGGGTAGCTCAGTTGGTTAAGCAACTGCCTTCGGCTCAGGTCATGATCCTGGAGTCCCTGGATCGAGTCCCGCATCGGGCTCTCTGCTCAGCAGGGAGCCTGCTTCTCCCTCTGACCCTCCCCCCTCTCATGTGCTCTCTCTCTCTCTCAAATAAATAAATAAAATCTTTAAAAAAAATGTACTTGGAGAATTAGAGCTCAAAGGTACTATTACTAATACTGCCACTAAAATCTAATGTGGAGTTAAATAAACCAACTTTAGGCTTAGACTTGCCTGTGTTAAAAATTTTAGGTCTGCCATTTACTAACCAGAATTGCTGACTAAATCTCCGAGCCAGTTTCCTCATCTATATAAAAAGATACTAGTTCATAAGGCTGTTATAATAGCTGAAATCAAGCACATAATTTAGCACAATGCCTGGCATATGGTAAATTCATTAATTCTCACTACTATTACTACTAGTACAACATCCATTATTTTTAACTCACAATAATTTGAATGGTAATTTTAAAGACTTGTATATTTTGTAAATGAAGAAACAGAAGAGTTAAGTGACTTGCCCAAGACCATACAGCTTGGACGTAGGAGAGGTAGGATTTGAAGCCAGGTTTACTAGGCTCTAAAATTCCATGATATTGCAATGTTTCCTACCTACAGAACATATATAATAATGATGGGAAAAAAGATGAAATGAATTAAAGAAGAGAAACAAACTATATTATTATTTCTGAAGACAGGACCCAAATCAGTGAAAACATTTTTAAACACTGTAAAGAAACATGTAGACTCAGTTAATGTATTTGAGGAAGTGGAAGAAAGACATAATATAAATGAATGAATGAATCAATAAAATTTGGTAACAAATTCCAAGCAATTGTATAAAATGGTGGTGAGTTCATCTAATAAAATCTAGAGTCTAAATGCTGTATCTCAATGATTTTAAATATACTATTATGTAACCATGTCAAGATTCAATTACATTTCTATTTTAGAGCAGAAACCTTTTTAGACAGATGAAATGCCTGCCAGCAGCAGTCCAAACACTCCAAATTCACTGAACTGAAAATATAATTGTGATGAGAGCATCAGCAGGTTTGTCTCACGACTGCTATAGGAGTACCAAAAGTAAATGAGGACTATATCCTGGGGGGGGGGTGAAGGGGCTTTTGCAGAGTTCATTTACTAAAACCACTTGTATAAAGACAAACCATGCTTTGGTTTGCATTCTCCTCCTGTACACATTTGACATTTCCCGATGTGGAGCACGTTTCACCAAAAGTGTAAAGCACTGTGGGAGTGCTAGAAGCAGATGTATGCCCATTTGTAGTCCCATCCCTTAAGGACATGGAAGATTTTTAAATGCTGAAGCACAGTTTTCTAAGAATAGAGTGAAAGGCTTCAACTGTTAAATTTTCTGAGAAAAATTAGACCCCAAAGTAATAGGCCCATGGGGAGCTTACATGACAACCCTAACAACCAGCATGTCAGAAATAGAGAAGTGCTCAGATCACTTTCAAGCTTTTTTTCTCTGCAGCATATAATGGCATCCTACAGAGAGGAAAAAGGAAACTACATAAATGTCTCACCAACCCGACTTAGCAGAGTGTCTCTGGTTTCATTAAGAAATACACCAGAGTGTATCCTTTCTAGACAGTCTATAGGATAGTGCTTCTTAATATTGTTGTCAAGCTATCTCTAGAGCTGAGAATTTCTCTTGACAAGAAATTCCTGAGTTTTACAAGTGTCAGTAGGAAAAGTAATTGTTAGAGCAGTCAATATACAGCATGTTCATAACACTCTGCTCTGTCACTTTAGGTACATAATACAGATAAGGAAAAAAATCCCACCTGAGGTCTCTACTGTGGCTCTACGCATTGTGTGAGCATCTTCCAAACTTCCCTGATTATTGTGTACTGTCTTAATTGCTGTGTATTATCTCAACCAGTCAGTGGTTCCTAACCACGTCAATAAAAAGGAGCTCTTGCCTGATTTATTCTCTCCATACATTCCATGTTTGAATTAATATTTTCTGCAGCAATGAGAATTTATTAGGTTTCTGATATTCTGAAAGGTGATTTCAGATCTTCACTACTTACCCTTATAAATCTCTAAAAATAGAGATTCTAGAACACAAACCCCATACTTTGGGGTTCCAAAATAGAACAATTCCAAAATTGAATATTGTAGTTAGGGGTAGATATCCTACCCATAAAATGAGAATTACAGAGGAAAAGGAGAACTATTCTAACTTACCATTTTGACAGCAGTTCTCCCCATGTTTCAAGAATTTTTCCTGCACATTCTTTGGATACATCACCAAATCCACTCAAGAGAGGTTCATCATTATCTTTAATAAATAAAACACATAAAAAAGGATAACAGAAGTGGCTATGCCAGCCAGAAGAATGAATGGAAACATAACAGTCAAATTTGAAAGATTTTACTGGGAGCATAAAGTCGTAAGTTCTATTTCTCTCTTTTAGCATTCAGATATAAATACAAAGAAAATAAAAATGATCCTAGGTACAAGGATCTGGCTATGATCTCTTTATTTCTCTTTTGCTTTCCATAGAGTCCACATTATGTTAACTGTGGAAAAGAGCCATTTCTAAGACTCAAAATATGGTATGTTCTTTTTTCTTTTCCAAAGCAAACAACTTTATCCAGGAAAATATATAGCAATCTTGTTTACCACAGTTAAAAAAAATTACAAACCACCTAAGTGTCCAACAATAGGAGAGCAGCAATAGGAGGCTGATTAAATTATGATATATGTTTATAATGTAATTATGTATTGATATGTGTTTACATTAGTAATCTGGCAAAATGTCACATAAAATAAAAATCAGGAGCTAATAAATCTTCATTATGATCAAAACAGTCTGGAGCAAATTATGCTAAGACATTAACAATTACAATCTCTGAGTGATGGAGTTATGATTTCTTTCCCCCCTCCTTTATGTTTTTAGGACTCTAAATTTTCTACAATGACATATATTTATTACAGAATGCACAAAAATATTAAAAAAGACCAAAATGAGTCATTTCAAACTTCACTCTCGTAATTAAGTAAACTCAAATAAGAATTTAAAGATTTTAAGATAGTGAAAAAAGTGACAACGATAAAGGCCTGTAAGAGGAATTTAAAAGTGTAACGAAAGGAGGAAACATGGACTAAGATATTTACGTAATCAATCCTCTTTTACTGGACACTTGGGGAGTTTTCAATTTTCTGCTACAAATAGTATCAGGATGAACATAACTCTTGTTTTCACTGGACATATGCCCAGAAGTGGACTTCCTGGGATATTTTGAAGCTTACTGACAAACTGCCTTCCAGAATGGCTCTACAATTTATTTCCACTAATAGGGGACAACGGTACTTCTTTCCAAGTATCCTCACCAATGCTATTTCTAAGTCTTCTGGCTTAACCTGCCTAAACAAAGTTTGGATCTTTATACCTTTAATGATTACATCATGAACATCTCTACTAGCAACAGCTCAGAAATCCATGACACTTACTACTTCTTTACATTATAATGGCTTGGACATTAGCATCGGTTTTGATGGTGAGATAGGGAAGACACAGACAGAATATAAGTGAGACTTCTTTTGGGACAAATGGGAGACAGAATAAATAAGGAAAAGAGAAAGGCTCGAGGGCATGAAGATAAACTTTCCCAACTCTGCTCTTTTGCCAGAATTGGCCCTACTTTCTAAGCTTCAAGCAATTCTCTACTCATTCAATTATCAATACAACACAACAACTCTTTGGGGAATAGCAGCTATAAAAAATGTACTAAAATATACCAGAGATGACAATTCCTTTAAAGAGAGATGACAATTCCTTTAAAGAGATTAGGAAGACCTGTCTTATCAAATTCTCTTTTACTCTTTTGGATGCTTTCAACATATCTTGACAGTAGCAGTTTGAAATATGTGTTTAGAACTCCACCTACCTAAAGCAGGGGTATGGGTGGGGAGGGAGCAGGCAACCTGTTTCAGTCTGAACACCTCCCCTTTATACCTGCTGGCTTCCTGCCCTGGGAGCACAAATGTCCTATGGATAAGGAGCCTCTCCACTAGAGGACTATAGCCATTTCTTTCTAGGGAGCAAACACATAACAGAATGGGTCTCCCTGGTCCATATAGTAGGTTAGAGAATGAAAAGATGGAAAGACTACACAGCTTTCTTCAGCCCCATGGTCCTCTCATTAGCCTTTCACTATGGGAATGGATCGGGGGGGGGGGGGTAACCTATCGTACCAGTATCTCCTGAGCATCTACTACACACCAGGAATTGTGTTATACACTAGGGAAACAATGTGGGCAAAAAAAGACACTTTTGTCCTTTACAGAACTTGTGTTCTCGTGTTCCCTAACTCTCCCATGGTCTGCTATTGGTCCTTATCTCTCCTAGTTAACACCTGTTACTAGAGGCCCTCTGAACTCCTCAATTCCACTGAAAACTGTATGCCTGCCATAGATTAGATTTAGACATTAGTCCGAATGTTATCCTTCAGTTGGGCCCAAATTTCTTTGTAACAGGTAGATATTCTTTAAGATCTGCAGCATTCAGATTCAGCATTTGACCATTCTCTGGTTTCATAAAAATAGTGTCTTTCTCAGTTTATGGGGGTTTTGTTTTTACTGCTGAGTTTAAGGGGAGAAGAGTTCTTTATTACTTGCTCTTCCATCTTAAGATGTTGACTTAGAAGGTAAACTACAAGTCTCAAAACTACTATAGAGCAGTCTCAAACAGTGAGAACAATTCCACTTTCCCAGCTTTAACACATGACTTAATTGGTTCTGCAGGAAGACTTTAAATTGTATCTCTAACTTCTCCCAAAACAATGTATGTGCTTTCTTTGCACTTCAAAATGCTTTATATGAACTAAATGCACCAAGATGATTACAAAAGAGAGCTCAGACTAACTCTCAGAACTGGATAAAGATCCTCCTTGCTTATTTCTAGTTGTGTGGCCTTGGGCAAATTCATTTTTCTGAGATACCATTTCCTTATGTGCAAAATAAGGATAATAGAAATCTTGTTCTTCAAAATTTTTGTGAGGATTATATAAACAAAATATTATTTTACTTTAGAAACAAACTTTAAAAGTCCCAGCTCAAAAACTACTTGTCATGATGTCCTACCACATCTCCCCACAATGAAAAATGGATTCTCCTCTATGAATTTTCAGAACACTTTCTGTGAACCTCACATAGACACATGCTTCATATGACCTTCTATCATAATCAGCTTTTTTCCTCTTTATAAAAAGTCCTGGTACAAAATTATAGGTTAGAAAATGCTTCCCAAACTTTTGCTTTTCCTGTGCTGCTCCTCTCCACTTCTCACTTCTATATAGTAGCTTTAAACAGAGACTGACAGATTAGTTAATGGATATAACCATTAAAAAAAAAAAGAGGAGAAAAAAGAGAACTGGATGATTCCTAATGTTTATCAGTGTGAAAATCCAATAATATATAAACATAAATTTGTATATTTAAATACTTATATTTTGTGAAAGAGTCATGTGTGGAAGCCACATTTTGGCAAGTGAAATTGTCCCTGTAAAATGAACCAGTTGAAATGGGAACATTTATTTAGGTGGAAGCTATGTCAAGTTTGCTCTAAAAATGTGCTAATACACTAAGCTAGCACATGCGGATTGTTTAAAAAAAACACTAATTATAAATCTCATTTTTTTCCAACTTGATTACAATTATCTTAAAGAAGGTCCTGTGCTCATCATTTTTGAATCTCCCATGGTCCTTTGCATATAGTACATTCTCATAAGTATTTACTGAAAGAATTCCAAATGCTATGTCACAGTATCAATTCCCTCATAAAATTATAATGGTGTGCATGGTGTACCACCCCATAATAGAAATTAAGCTCTCCCTACAATTTACCTTCCTCTTCATCATCTTCTGGAGGAGAAGGTATCATTGAACTCTGAGATCCAGACTGTGGCAGGCGAATTGAGGGACTGGCTGTAGTTTTCCTCCTCTCTCTCTCTGATTCACTTTCCAAGCACACAACTTCATATAAAGTGTCAGTATTGTTCTTTCTCTCCTTCTGCTTTATCTTGAAGATGAAAAAATATTATTTACTAAGTGGTACAATTATTTTTCTAATTGAGCACTACACTTCTGATTTCATACAGGATGTGAGAATAAAAAGGTATTACTTTGAAATGTCTACACTAAATGTAACCTTTTCTTTTTTAAAGATATCATTTATTTATTTGACAGAGACGATGAGAGAGGGAACACAAGCAGGGGCAGGGGAGAGGGAGAAGCGGGCTCCCCGCCAAGCAGGGAGCCCAACGCGGGGCTTGATCCCAGGACCCTGGAATTATGACCTGAGTCGAAGGTAGACGCTCAACAACTGAGCCACCCAGGCGCCCCTAAATGTAACCTTTTCTAAATAGAAAAATATACGTTTAGACTTAAAAATCCACAGGAAAATAGGCTAGCAGGACTCTAATTCTGCAGTTTTATTTAAGTTTAGTTTAAGAAACTATCGATGAGGGGAGCCCCTAGGTGGCTCAGGTGGTTAAGTGTCTGCCTTCAGCTCAGGTCATGATCCCATGGTCCTGGGATCAAGCCCTGTCTTGGGCTCTCTGCTAGATGGGAGTCTGCTTCTCTCTGCCCCTCCCCCTGCTCATGCTCTCTCTCACGTGAGCTATCAAATAAATAAAATCTTAAAAAAAAAAACTATCCCTGTAAAAATGTTTTTGTTTTTTTTTAATTTTTTTAGAGAGGGAGAGAAGATGGGGAAGGGCAGAGGGAGAGAGAGCGAGAGACTCTTAAGCAGGCTCCTCACCCAGTGCTGAGCCCGACGTAGGGCTCGTCATGACTCTGAGATCATGTCCTGAGCTGAAATCAAGAGTCAGATGCTTAACTCAATGAGCCACCCAAGCACCCTGAAAAAAATGTTTTAAAATATTCTAACACAGTTTAGGACTAAGAGAGTCCTTTTATTTCCACGCCTCTTCCCACTCCTTTAGCTTAATTAAAGCAGTATAGGGAACTTTTCTTTAACTGAAAGCTATGACTGGGGCTGGGGGGTAGAGGTGAGTGGCAAAAGAGATTAATGAAATTCATAAAAATTTTGTATCTCAAATTGGTTTGTATTTTGAGGCAAACACATAGCAGTTTGAATTCACCTAAATTAAAAATTAAGGACCAAGAATATAAAACTTTTCTAGTACCAAATTTAAATATATTAATATTCCACATCACAGCCAGTTTAAGAAGGGGGAAAAAGAGTGAAAGACAGAGCAGGAAGAAAAAGCAGAATTATAGGAAAAGACAGAAAGACAACTAGAAATGTGGCTACACCAATGAGAAAGATGTACAAGCATAAAGTAAAAATACAGAAAGAGAAGGGGGGATTAAAATGCTCATTAGGTACAAAAATATCAGGCAGAGTGGATTTTATCATCTGAATGTTCATGTAGGTTCTTAAAAAAATTATCCCAATCCTGGAAGACCAAAGTTAGTGGCAACGTGTGCTTCCTTTCAATATCATCCTGAAACGCTGCTTAATATAGGAGTCGGTAAACCTTTCTGTAAAGGGCCAAAGAGTAAATATTTTAGGCTCTGTGGGCCACTAGTCTGTCACAACTACTCAACTGCCACGATGGTGCAAAAGCCCCCATAAACACTAAGTGAGTGAGTGTGGCTATATTCCAAAAAAACTTTATAAAAACAAAGGCCAGGCCAGATTTGACCCACATACTCTAGTTTGCCAACTTTGTTTTAACATGTCCACCTAAGGATTAATTTTCTAGATGAATAAACAATTTTGACTTAGCTACTTACTATTAAAGACCCAGACTCTATGAAGTTATATATTAACCTATAGATTTGTATCCAATAGATAGGCAAATGATTTGTCCAGTAGAAAAGATAACCCAAACTTACCTTTAAGACATTAGCCAGTTTTATTTCTGATCTAGCAATCTTGTTCTAACATTATTTTTTTTTTAAAAAAGGACTATATCGACTCAATTTCCTCAAATATGTAGAGCCAGTTTTACCATCTTACTGGCTCCCTCAATATTTAATGAATTGAATTAAAAATCTATGACATATGTTCATTCTAAATTTTAATTATGTTTAACTTTTAAGTATTACACTTTGATAGGGAATAGGATTTCCTTTTTTCATGTTACAAATTACTGTCTGAAACAGTTAATTACTATCTAAAAGAGTTCAAAGATCAATAACTCTTTACTTAAAAAAAAAAAAATTCTCAGAGACTATGTAAATGTGATAACCATTGCAGCTCACCTAGAAACTCTTCCCCGAGTTATACTGCCCATACGAAAACTGCCTTTTGAAGTCAGATAAACATAGTCATGAACTGAACCCTGCTTATAAGAATGCCAGCTATTAAAAATGATATACATTGTTGAAGCTGGGAAACAGTACATGGGGGTTGATTATACTATCATTTTTATTTCTGTGTGTTTGAATGTTCTGTAATAAAAAACTTTTGAAAAATCACTCTTGAAAAACATAGACTTGAATAAACGGAAAGATACCATGTTCTTAGATGACTAAACATAATAAAGATGTCAGTTCTCCTTAGTAAAAATACCAATTTTTTCCTAGAGCTACAGAAGTTGAATCTAAAGTTTACATGAAAAATAAGAATATCCGGCAAAATCCACAAAAGAACTGGGGAGGTAAGGTAGCCCTATCAGGTATTAAAACATATTATAAAGTCTACATAATTAAAAGTGTGATATTGGTGCATGAGTAATCTAAAAACCCATGAAAGAGAACATAAAAGCCCGAATAAAGTCCAAACATACAAGAAAATGTGATATATGATAAAAAGTGGCATCTCAAATCACTGGGGGAAAAGTTAGACTATTCAATGAATGGCTTTGGGACAAGTAGATGGCCATTTGGAAAAAGATTAAAGCAGACCCATACTTTACACCATACACCAGAATAAAACACTAATGAGTAAGATCTAGAAGTAGAAAAACAAAACCATATAAGTAATAGAAGAAAATGTGTAAATTTCTTTATTATTGGGTGTAGGGAAAGTATTCCTAATTATGACTCAAAATCCAGAAGCTTTAAAGGAAAAACCTTGATAAATTCAAGTACCTAAAAATATAATCATTATGGCAAAAAAAGCTGAAAAGATTCATCATAATTTAAGTCACAAGACAAGTGACAAACCAGGAGAAATATTTGCAATTTATATCTCAAAGGGTTAATCTCTCAAATACAGAAAAAGCTTCTAAAAACTAAAAGGAAAAAGGCCAAAACCAAAAAGCCAAAGATATGAAGGATAGTTCAGAGAAAAGGAAAGTCAAGTCACCCTTAAACATACGAAAAAAGGCTTGTTTTCATTCCCCAAAGGATAAATTAAGACTACCATCAGATCCTTAAGTTTCATAACATACTCTTGACAAGCCTGTGGAGAAACAGGTACTCTCATATCCTGTTCATCTCTATGATTACAACAGTGAGAAAAGGAAATCTGGCAAATATAACAAAATTACATATGCAAAATTATCTACTCTAAGATGCACTTTCATTAAATCAAAACATATGCACAAAGTTATATACATTATTTGGAATAGCAAATGATTAAAAAAAATCCAAAAATCCATCAATAGAGGACACTTAAAAAATCACAAATCATGATTCATCCAAACAACAAAGTACTATGTAGCCATTAAGAATGAGGAAGATCTCTATGAAATGATATGGAATGATCTGCAAGATGTAGTAAGTTAAAAAAACAAGGTGCAGGACAGTACATAGGCTAGTTTGTATTTAAAAAAGGGAGTTAAAGGGGTGCTGGGTGGCTCAGTCATTAAGCGTCTGCGTTCGGCTCAGGTCAAGATCTCAGGGTCCTGGGATCAAGCCCCACATCGGGCTCCATGCTCAGTGGGAAGCCTGCTTCTCCCTCTCCCACTCCCCCTGTTTGTGTTCCCTCTCTCACTGTGTCTCTCTCTGTCAAATAAATAAATCTTTTTAAAAAGTGGGGGGAGTTAAAAATACATAGGAGTATTTTATTATTTTCCCAAAAAGAAACATTGGGACGATAACCCAGAAACCACTAATAATGGTTACCTATGGGTTTGGATGGAGAAACATGAATGAAAATTAAGACTTCTGAGTACATTTTTACATAATCTTGACTTTTGTACCACTGTATATATTTTAAATATTCAAAAAATTAAACCAAATAAAAGACCCAAAGTCCTCAAATTGAAAATATGGAAACAAATGAACCTCACTATGTGTCAAATGGTAACGTAACTATAATGAAAAAAAATTTTTTTCCAATTAACTTTTGAACACAGTACTCATTTTATAATCATACTGGAACATGTTCAAAGGGGAAAAAAGTTCCGTAAAATCTTAAACTTCACTCAACAGTTTATTAATTGCAATACTGACTTTTTTGGAATGAATATCAACAAATGGGAATTTGAAACTGTACTGACTCAATTTCATATTATATACATCCATTTTTATGTTATACCTACATATTAGTTATATTGTTTTTCCCAAAATTTAAGCATCTATAGAAAAGTTCAGAATATGCTAAACATTCTGAAAACCTTTTCATTTAGATGTTTACATACTGATTTTTATATACTGACATTAAAATATGGGTCTTATTTCCAATTAAAAGAAGTTTGTACAATGTAAGTTGTACACAAATTGCAGTGTGGCATCATCTATATTTTAGAAATGGTACAAGTTTATTAATGAATGCTGAATTACCCCATGATTAATTGTATTAATATGTTTCTCCTCACTGAAATTTTAAGTAATTAAAATCTGTATTTCAAAAACAAATATAATAGTAACTTTTCTTAACATTTTACAAGTTTATAAAGATTTTGTTATAAATTTGCTAGGAGCCATAAAAGAAAGATCTGTATTAAGGGTGTTTCCTGCAATACTGTTATTTTTTAATTCTTTGATAAAGTAGGATAAAGCAAATAAATATATTGCGGTTATTGTATTTAAGATATTCAATATTAGAAACATATATAAATGTAAAAGAAAACCCTGTAATGTGAAATTACTACTGAAAAT